CTATCCATCTATCCATCTATCCATCTATCCATCTATCTATCTATCTATCTATCTATCTATCTATCTATCTATCATCTGTCTGTCTTCTTCATCATCATAATTATTATCTATCTATTTATCTATCATCTGTCTTCTTCTTCTTCATCATCATATCTATCTATCTGTCTGTCTGTCTGTCTGTCTATCATCTATCTGTCTATCATCTATCTGTCTATCTATCTATCTATCTATCTATCTATCTATCTATCTATCTATCTATCTATCATCTATCTATCTATCTATCTATCTATCTATCTATCTATCTATCTATGCCAGCTGCCATGGTTCCATTACATTGTAGTGTCACACTCCAGAGTGATCAAGATACAGAAACTATGGAAAGCCTATGTGTCAGTAACACAGTAAACATCCCTAGCACCCACTGCATTGAATAAGTCACAGTGTTCCCTCTAAGCTGAGTTAGTATGAGCTAGCTCACAAGTTTTTAGCCCCCAGCTCACACATTTTTTTGTCTAGCTCAGGAAGGATGTCTCCAGAGCAAACTAATTTATGCAGTAGCCAAATCGCTCACTCACAACTTTAATGAAGTAGGATTTTTGCTGACAAGCAGGGCTATTTTGGGGCAGGAACGCACAGGAACGGAGTTCTGGCTGGCTTCCAAGTTGGCCATGCCCAGCAGGAACTCATTAGCATAATAGGCCACACCCAACAGCAGAAACTCTTTAGGATTGGCTACATTAGGGGTGTGTGGCCTAACATGCAAAGGAGTTCCTGCTACAAAAAAAAAGCCCTGGGTTTTGACAACAAACAAGGTAAACAGAATAAGAAGCAAAAGTTGGGTGTGGCTGGATAACCACACTTCTGGTAACATGGGGGTGTGGCCTAATATGCCAATAAGCTGTGCTGTCAGGGGGTGCGGCCTAATAGGCTAATGAGTTTCTGTTGTTGGGTGTGGCCTATTATGCTAATGAGTTCCTGCTGGGCTTTATCTATAAAAAAAGCCCTGCTCACAAGACTCCACAGCGTAGAGGGAGTGTTGGACCGGAGTCTTCAATATGGTGCCTGTTGGCACCATGGCACCCACTGATGCCTTCTCTAGTTCCTGTCAAGTGTATTTTGAAAGTGGGTGGGACCTGATGGGACTTTTTCTCTGGCAAGGCTTCTGATTGGCTTGCAGATATTTTAAAAACTGTTGCTTCGGCGGCAGCTGCCACCACAGCCCAAACATCTTCACTGAAGTTAAGCTGCAGCAGCCATTTTGTGGCTGTTTCCGCCTCTGGTGGCAGCCATTTTGAGGCTCTGGCCACAGCACTTGGTGCTTGGGGGGCAACAGTGGGAGGGCTTCTAGTGTCCTGGCCCCACTGCTGGACCTCCTGATGGCACCTGGTATTTTGGGCCACTGTGTGACAGAGTGTTGAACTGGATGGGCGATTGGCCTGATCCAGCATTGGCTTCTCTTATGTTCTTATGTTCACTTTGTCAGAATTCCAAAAGTACCTGGTTGGGGACCCCTGGTAGAAGACCATGGTGTAAGATCCAGTTCAAACTGCTCCAGAGAATCCCTCCTGCAAGATCACCTTTAAAATGAATAGAAGCAGCAGGGGCGCATAAAGCTAAACTCCATTGCAATTAATAAGCACATGCTTACATTGAAGTGTGTACACTGATATCCGGATCTAGAGGAACATGCTATAAAGTGGGTGTTTATGAAAAAAAAGAGAGATAACTGCTCCCAGTCATTAATAACAGAGGAAAATCAAGCACACGCTTGGTATCCATGTTTTCAAATGTGGAAACTTGGAATACATTCAGTTTACAGCTCGTGAAATTTTAATAGCATGCAGAGAGGCCATAATATTAGAACGCACGTTTGAGGCCAAAGGGAATGCAGAACCTCAGAAGGAAACACGTTCATAAACTACACAATCTAATGTTGCCCAGTGAAAGAATGCAATAAATTTTACGGGCTTATTGATCCTTATGCTATTGGCATCGCCCCAGCAATTGAGTTAGCCATCGAATCGGCCTGAGAAAGGCAGATATTAACGTTTTAAGGAACCTTTATAAATCCTCGTCTCGCCCAACCGAGAAGGCCATAACAACCTCTCCTTATCATAAACAAAACAAATAAAGTTGTTTTTAATTACAGTGAGGGTATGTAATGAAATCGTTTGCCCGAAGGCAGACATGTTAGATTTACAGCGGTATTACCTACGAGCTCATCTATGCTAAAGGGGAGCCAGGAAGACTGGTTCTTAGCCCAAGTGGAGACGAGGCTTGCCAAAGTGAGGTGAGGACATCAATGCAGCCATAGAGTGCAACTTCCTTCCAAGAAAAAATGAGTGAAGGCAATGGGCCGCGATTCCAAACTTTGTTTATTCCTGGAGCTCGGAGTGAAGGGGGGGGGGTTCATCAATGCATTGTGTGCCTTGGTAACGCATGGCAGACAAAAAAATAATAATCTATAATTGGTAATGTACAGCAGACTTAAATGAGGGGAGTCCAAGTTGCAGCAAAGAGCACATGTCTATTATTTTAAAATAAAACTTGAAAATAAATAAACAAGAACCATGGATTCCTGTAGCATCCTACAGCAGAGAAAAGGCTAGGCACTTCAGAACTGCAAAATCTGGGGAGAACTTCAGAGAAGGGTGATTTTGGAAGTATTCCTGTTTTTATGTTTTAAATGTTTGTTTATGTTTTAAATGATTGTTATTTTAAGTCATCTATAAGTTTATGATAGATTTTATTGTATTTTACTGTATTTAATTGTATCCTTGAATTGTTGTAAGCTGCCCTGAGCCCGCCTTGGTGGGGAGGGCAGGATATTAGTCAAATTGATGATGATGATGATGATGATGATGATGATGATGATGATGAAGAAGAAGAAGAAGAAGAAGAAGAAGAAGAAGAAGAAGAAGAAGAAGAAGAAGAAGAAGAAGTATTTCTACATATCACCTGTTCTACTAATACTGTCGCAGGGACCCAACAATGATATCTGCAGTGACAGTGGTGCTTTTTCTAACTTCCAAAATGATAGCGATTTGTGTTGGGACCTTGCCGTTGTACCCATAGGTAGGCTGGTTTGCACTTTACACTGTCCACATTCAAAGGCTAGAACCATGTAAACAGCATGGAAGTTATTTCGTTAGTTAACATGGCAGAATTTCCCCTGCTCTCTATGGTAAAGAACATACAGATATGGAGAAAGTCCTAGAACGTCAATAGATTTTTCTGGCCCTTTTTCTCCCACAGCAAAATTCCTTAATGGTGGGAGATTGGGGCCAAGGGCAGTGGTTTAACCACTGTGGGTGGGCAAATGGCAAGCCCAATGCCAGGACATTGTCCTGAGCGACGTGGAGGGAAATTGTGTGTTACACGCCGTCAAGCGGCTTTTGACTTATGGCGACCCCGTGAATGAACGACATCCCAGACATCCTACTGTTAACAGCCTTGCTCAGTTCTTGCAACCTGAGGGCCTTTGTGGCTTCCTTGATTGAGTCAATCCATCTCACATTGAGTCTTCCTCTTTTCCTGCTGCCTTCCAACTTTTCCTAGCGTTATTGTCTTTTCCTTTGACTCTTGTCTTCTCATAATATGACCACAGTACAATAGCCTCAGTTGAGTCACTTTAGCTTCTATGGAGAGTTCAGTCAGGCTTGATATAGTAAAGTAAAGGTAAAGGTTCCCTTGCTTGAAAGCCAGTCGAGTCCGACTCTAGGGTTGCGGTGCTCATCTCCGTTTCAAAGCCGAAGAGCCAGCGCTGTCCGAAGACATTTCCGTGGTCATGTGGCCGGCATGACTAAACACCAAGGCGCACGGAACGCTGTTACCTTCCCACCGAAGTGGTACCTATTTATCTACTTGCAATTTCTTGCTTTCGAACTGCTAGGTTGGCAGGAGCTGGAACGAGAGATGGGAGCTCATTCCGTCATGCGGCACCCGGGTCTCGAACTTCTCAAGATACCAGGGCCATAAACTTCCATACTGATCTTCTGAACGATAGCAACCATGGACTCTTGTTAGTTCTTCCATTTTGTTACATCTCCCAGAGAAAGAGCTCTGGGGAATGTGAAAGCTTGCACACTGTGACATGTCACTGGGCTGGTCCTAAAAAAACAGTATTACATGGATGGTGCTTTTGGCTTTTTAGTTAGTTCTCCTGCTTAAAGGCTCAAGACTTCGGTAGCTGACTGTGGGGAAGGAATGGGGGGGAAACACATAAGGCGCAACGTGGCACGGATCAGGTACCCCTTCACTGCTGAGTGGCCAGGAGGCAGCCGTCCAAGGTGAGAACAAGCAGGACTTGGTCTCCTGACCTTCAGAGACGCAGACAAGCTCCTTAACCACCAGGCTTGCTTGTCTTTCAACTGTAGTTATACACTGGAGGAGGAAAGAGGGCTCAGGGAATAAGCTGTAGACAGCAACTTTAGAAAAGGGGGTTTGGTTACACGTGGCCCCCAAATAAAAGCACATTTTTAAAAAGGAGAGGCTCACCCAATCAATCCTAGCACAGACTCAATAGCTTACACAGCACAGACCGAATAGCTCACTGTATTCCACAAGCGATGTCGTTGGAAGAAACAAGGGGGGGTGGGGCAGCAAGGCAGAAGAGCTGAAGGGGGGGTCTTATTCAGAATGCCTGTGGACTAGGACATTGGATACTGCATTTGTGGAAGTACACAAGTTTATTCTTTGAGCAAAAGGCCACTGGGGTCTCAGTCAAGGGGCTGCATATCCCCCATGGCAAAAGACCTATAAAGGGTCTCAAAGCCTCAATCCCTAGAGACCCTCCTCCTTCTGGGATTTTCGCCGAGTGCTACCCACCTTCACAGCCTTAAGGACTAGAGCCTTGCTTTTTTTTCAAAAGCAGAATTCCCAGGATGCCACATCTAATTCTGACTACCTTTGCATGGGAAGTGCCAAGTATGAAAGAGCAGGAAAGCAAGCAAAGCAGACGGAGGGCCAAGCAGCTAAAAAGCCATCCACGGTTTCCCTACTTGGTCATTTCTGCTGCGTCCGGTGTGGAGCTTCCCGGCCACATCGCCAATGATCTCCTGAAACAGAAGAATATCCATCCGGGTTAGCGTACTAGTTAGGGTTGCCTTCCTCCAGGCAGGGGCTGAAGATCTCCCACTATTACAACCGACCTCCAGGCAACAGAGATCAGTTCACCTGGAGAAAGCGGCTGCTTTGGAAGGTGGACTCTACGGCATTATACCCCACAGAAGTCCCTCCCCTCCCCAAACCCCGCCCTCCTCAGGCTCCACCCCCAAAATCTCCAGAGATTTCCCAACTTGGAGCTGGCGGCCCTATAAATAGCTGCAAAGGCAGCTGATTTTGGGGACAGTCACATGGCTGCTTTAATTGCCAGGGACAGTCCACTGAAACAATGCCAGCTGGTCAAAGAGGAGGGCGGTCTTTAGTAATTGTCCTCAGCAAGGACTATAATGAGGACTAGATCCTTAATAAGCCTCTCTGGATATTCCAGACTCGAGCTCTTTCAGCCAGTAATTCCGCTGTTGTTCCATGTATATCGACGTTTGAACACATCAGATGGCCTCTCTGGCCCGGTTCGAAGGTTCTTCACTTTTCTCCTCTTTTTGAGTCCCTATACTCCCCCAAGCCAGGAATCCATTCTGTCCTTCACTCCCAAACCAACCTTTGGCTTCTCACTGCAGCTACACTAACCATGGGCATCCCACTACTGACCTCTTCCTTTACCCCACAACAACTGGAGCATCCATGAGCATTCCAGCCCTGACATGGATGGCCCATGCTAGTCTGGTCTCATCAGATCTTATGACCCATGCTAGTCAGATCTCATCAGGTCTGTCAAGCTAAGCAGCACCAGTCCTAGTTGGTTTTGGGTTGGAAGACCACCAAGAAAGTCTAGGGTTGCTATGCAGACAAGCCAAACCTTGAGCCGGCGTTCAATGGTAGTGTGGATATCCTCATCGGTTTTGGAAATCATGAGGGAGCCCTTGGAATACTCTTCCGAAATCTGTGAGAGAAACACAGACACCAGCGGGTTAGCAATTAACGGGCCTCCCCGATGTCTGGCCCAGTTAGAGAGCCATTCATGTGTTTAACAGCAAGAGTCAACTACTTGCACTGATCTCCCTGGCAGAAACCCAGAAAAAAACCTCCATCTGCTTAGCGAGTTAAGGATATCGCAAGCTGGGAAAATTCCCAACACTTAGCCTTTGAATGGTGGTTTCACTGTTCAAAGCACTTTGCGTATATTAATTGCTGCAATCTTTCAAACAATGCCGGAAGGTAGGATTCTTCTATGCAGGTCAGAAACCGAAGCTGGGAACAAGCAGGCTGTATAACTGAGTTTGTGACGGAGGAGAAATTGGAACCAGTGGCCTCCCAGATCACAGCTTATGCTCATCACAGCTCTCACTGGTTTGTTTTTTTAAGCAACAGGAAACCTGAACCATGAATGTATAGCTTCTCTGCCAAGACCTCAACACCTGTGCCACTGTAATTAAGCCAATTCACACAACTACAGCTTAGGGTTGTATATTACCTCTCTTCCATTTTTGGAATGTAGTAAAATAGCCATTTGGGATTCTGCCTTAATGCTCAGATCCCAGATTCCCCTTAACAATAGTTTTGTTCCGTGCCCATTGTCTAACCTAACCAAAGAGGCTGCTCAGATCGAATACAAGTCTGACTCTATGACCCCCAAGCAACACTGAACAATTATCCCCACCACCACCTGTATCATACTTGTAAATGCAAACCCAAGACCATTTTTAGAATCAAGGGGTGAGAGATGAAGGGGTGGTCAATCAACTAAAGCCTAAAATTTACCATTCCCCCTCCCTCCAACCAGACTAATAACAGACATGGAGAAAAGCAGGTGAGATCCAGGCTAGTATATATTTAGAGATGGGATCTTCCACAATGCTGATGGGACTTGAACTTGTTTTGTTTTCAAAGTCACCCTAGCATTAGCACGTTCCCCATGAGGGAGGCCTTTGACTCATTCAAAACTGGATAAGAAAATATGAAAGATGGTCTTTCTAACAGGGGGTAGACGTTGCTGGGCTCCTACCATCCCAAAGTGCTCATACATTTTTTGCAACATCTAACACTTTGCAAGCTAAATCATCAACTTCATTTAAGAAAAGAGTCAAATCATTCACAGCTACCTTCTCTAGGCCACTGATGATCTTGTCCAGTTCAGCCCTGGATAGAATCCCGGCCTTCTCCAAGACCTTGGCATAAGCGATACTTTCACGGATATCAACCTCCGCCAGGCGCTGATCAACCAGGATTGAGGCATTCAGCTTCTCCATGATGGGGTCCAAGCTTCCGACAAGCCTCCCGCCGTACAGTTTATCACCCTGCATAAGAGGAAACATTCCATACAGTTGAACAAGGCAGTCCAAACGCCTCAGACTCCTCTTTCTGTGGCTGCCATTTTGGTATCCTACAGAAACCAGGATGGTTTCAAAATGGCGGCCCATTGAAGGAAACGGAGAACTGTATAATTGTCTGAAGGGTATTTTTTATTGTGAGTGTGCTGGTGACAGAAGCACAGTTCGGACAGCTGAGAAAAATGTAATTAATTTGGGACTCCCATACTGAAGTCTGGACAGATCCATGTCCACAGCTCCAATGGAGCGCCAATTTCTGTATCAACACCCAAACTCAAAAAAACTGGTACTTATTCTGAAGTATTTAGATATTTAAACCCTGCTTTTCTTATTAGTGGAGACCCAAATTGGCTTACAACATTATTCTCCCCTCCTTTATCCTATCCTCACAACTATCACCCTGTGAAGTAGCTTACGCTGAGAGAGACCAACTGGCCGAAGGTGACCCGGTGAGCTTTTACAGTAGAGTGGGACTTTGAACCCAGGTCTCTGGGATCCAAATTGGACATTCAAACCCAAGGGTCCCCAACTTTTTTGAACCTGTGGGCAACTTTAGAATTCTGAAATTGTGTGGCGGGCGCAGCCACAAAATGGCCGTCACAAAAGAGCTGTTGCTGCGGGAGGTGGAACCAGACATAAAATGGCTGCCACAGCTTCCCTTCAGGCAGGCAGTAAAAATCCTTGCGCTAGGGTAGCTGCCGCCAAAGCAACTTTTTTAAAACTCTGCACAGCCAGTCAAATCATCAATGGCCAATTAGAAGCCTTGATGAACAAAAATCCCTCCCTGGCCCCACCCGCCATCTAAAAACACCTCATGAGCACCAGGAAAGGTGTCAGTGGAGATCATGGCATCCATGGGCAATGTGCTGGACCTCTGCTCCAACCATTACCCCACTCATACAACCCCAGACCTGCAACTCACATCCTTTGAATGCTATGGGCTTGCACTGCCAACTGCTTTGGTCCTATCAATTATCAATCTTTGGACCACCGGGTGGGGAGATCGCAAGGGACTCCGTGTTGTACTTTTGCCAGCACATGACCGCGATACGGCAATCCCTCGGCTTTCTCAGAGCAAATATGAAGAGCACATGTGATGCTCTGGCCCTTCCAGAGCAAGTCAAAGGTCGCTGGCCAGGAGATAGCTCTGGCTCAGCCTTGCAAGGCTCCGCAGCAGCTTTAAGGCTGCCTCCCTCTCTGCTGAATAATGCTGAGAGTGCATTTTAATCCGAGAGGCCGCATCGGCTAAGACCATCACCTGTGAGAATGGAACAGGTTTCAAATACAAGGGGAAGGCTAGCTCCATTCTCATCCAGGCTAGGCAATGCTCATAGAGAAATTGCCACGTGACAGATGGGCTAAACACTTGTAAAATACATATATTTATACTCTGTTTTCTGCTGACTGCTAATTTTATTTATTTCCCTCTCCTGTTGATCTGGCCAGATGGCACACCTCTCCAAACCCGTATGCCAGCTTCCAGTCTTCTGCATCCAAAACGCTTTCTCCTCCCTGGAAAATTTGCTATCTTCTTGTCCGACCTATCTTTTTGCGCATTTCCCCAACCTGTGACTTTTGCTTCTCCGTAGCCCATAGCTACCCACACATCTCCTGCTCTCTGCCGGTTTGCCTTCACTGCCCCTTATGCCCAGAAGACCTCACTTGCCCAACTTTTCCTTCAGATCCTCTCTCAGAATTCCAGAAGCCCTTGGTAATCTTCTTTTCCCACTGCAACTAAGCATCCTTAATTACATTTGTACACATTTCTCCCTTGTTACACCAACTTTTCTGTTCTCTCCCCTTTAGATTGTAAATTCTTTGGGGCAGAGACTTGGGGGGGGGCTTTTTTCTGCTCTAAAGTGTCATGGACACTGATGGCATTATCCCGACCATAAAAATGACCAGGTTCAATTCCTCAAGGAGTTTTTTTTTAGAAAGATACAGCTCTAGTAACTAAATAACCTGCACCAAATGTCAGGTAACAAAGGCAATCTGGGATTTTTCTCCCACCTTTTTCACTCTGGGGGGGGGGGGGGTCTCC